TTTCATGCAACATCCTCCTCATTTCTTCCCTTTGTTCAGCTAACATAGCCCGAATCATGGCTTGTACTCCAGCCATGGTGATTGGTTCAGGTGCAGCTTCTACTATAACAGGTATTTGATCAATCATTGGGGATTGATTCCTGTTTGCGTTCGCATTCTCGACTCCGCTTCAGGTTCTTGCCATTTCGATCTATACACCAAATCAGACGTTCGGTGTGTGATGAAGAGAATTAAGATAGGAAAGATTCGACGTGTAATTCTCCCTATCACTCCGAAAAGTTACATGTCAGTTCTAATATCGTAATCAAACGTTTAGAAATCTGAACACATAAAATTTCCAGATCCGGTCGGCAACAGACCATAGATCCGATCAGACATTTAGCATCATAAAGCATCATAAATCATTTAGCACATAAAAGCATGTTAGGCATTTTCCCTAAATTAGCTAGTGCTTGTGTCTATTCAGGTGTATTACCTAAATTTTATTAGACACACTCCTCACAATCATCGCTTAGCATTCTAAGTTTAAGTCTATAAATAAATCCATATTCCTAGTTCGCTTAAACTAATGCTCTGATACCAACTGTGACATCCCCATTTTCACGGCCAGAAAAGACCGATTGTGTTTATGCTTTATAAAAATCAGAGTACTTCTTTTAATAAAAATGTTGCGGAATTTATTCCCAGTGAAACATGATAAATACGTTATCAAAGCATTTCCGAAGAAATGTATTTTTATTCATTTTTAAAACATTTGGGATGTCATCGTCAATGCAGAAACATAAGCATAAACAGAACTTACATTCATTTATACTAGTGATCTACATCTCTTTTAAATCTCTCAGTGTAATGTAACTTCATATCGACACCTGTGATAGAAATAAGTTGGAGTGGGTCAGACTGTGAAACCTGGTGAGTACATAGGGTTTTCAACCCACAATAATATAATTATTATGTTTAAACATCAAACAATCAACCCAATTACCCATCCCCATTATCTTATTTACTCTTAAGGGTCTACCCTAAGAATCAACTATTCCTCGTTCATTCATTCCTAAGGATCATCCTAAGGAATCGGCACGAAGTCCATCGTCAGCGGGGTTTAGTCACTAAGTCTGCATAGTCGCCAGGATTTATACAACAGGCACTAAGTACACATAGTCGCCAGGGTTTAGGCACTAAGTCTGCATAGTCGCCAGGGTTTATACAACAGGCACTAAGTCTGCATAGTCGCCAGGGTTTTGGCACTAAGTCTGCATAGTCGCCAGGGTTTATACAACAGGCACTAAGTCCACATAGTCGCCAGGGTTTTGGCACCAAGTCTGCATGTTCGCCAAGGTTTAGGCACCAAGTCTGCATGATCGCCCGGGTTTAGAGTACACCGGGTGAACACATCGTTCACAACACCTACAGGTTGCGAGCCTGCTAGTGTTCCACCAGACTGTCTAGAATAGTCCGTGGTTGTCATCCATACTCTGCTAGATGACGGGGACATCATTTGGGAAAAAGGCTTCTCACATCGTCAACCTCTCACCCTTACCTCATGGTCTATATCACCTCTCAACTCATCATCCAACTCATATTTCATCTACCCATGTTTTACCCAACATATTATGTAGATATAAATACATATACAGTTTAAATCATATAAAACTTGTATAAAATCGTTCATCCATCATAGATAGCAAGTATACAAATAATATGCACACATAGCACGTAGTTTATATAAATTACTTCATATCTATGTGTAAGATGAAAGTAACTACGCACTCACTTGATTAGGTGGTGATTCTGCACTTGAACAGCGTTTCGTTATCTCAAAACAATTATCCCTCGACAAAACCTAGTATCAATACCACTAGGGTTTAGTCTAACGTTAACCACGAGTAATTAATAGTCTATCTATTATTATTATTATATAAGCGTTAAACAACACTCTATATAACTCATAATAATAGCCAAAATAATTATTTTGAGGACCTAATAACATTACTATAATTATTTAAAAGTTATATTAAAAATTTCATAGGCGTAGCTTACTTACAGCGGATTTTAAAGAAAACCGGGCTTCGCTTGGAGCAGCGTTTCCGAACCGAAAGACCCTTTTTCTCGGGACTCCGGGAGCCTCGGGGTTCCCTTAAGGTGATAGGGAGGTTCCCTAGGGTTTTTTGGGGTTAGGATAGTCTAGAGAGAGAAAGAAGTTAGAGAGAGAGTGAGTTTTGGTGTGAAAATCCGAGAGGCTTCGCCTCCTTTTTATAGGCCTCAGCTTCGGACTACGCTGGGCGTAGTCTTCAGCTACGCGGCGCGTTCGTCGGATAAGGCTTCCAGGTGGCCGGCTTCGGATGGTGCGACGTGGAGGTTTGTGGTCCGAGCAATGCAGCTGTACGCTGGGCGTACCGAGCTTCAGACGTTGGGCGTAATTGCGAGGTTCCGTCGCGAAACTTCGACGGGTCATAACTTCTTCGTTATAACTCGGATTTCGGTGTTCTTTATATGTATGGAACCCTTGAGACATATTATACAACTTGGTTAAGATTATTTATTCTAAATAATCTTTTGTCGAAAAGTCGTTTTCGACCCCTATTATCTCTAAATTGACTAGCCCGGATCTACGGGCGTTACATCTTAGACTTAATTTCGGGATGAAATTCCCTCTAACGGGGGGATGATGTGACAACTCGTAATTCCTATTCTTGTAAAAGTCAAACTTGGTCAACTAAAGTCAAACTTCTCATTTTGATCTATCTTATTTAAGTAGATTTAAAATCTAAATTTGGTTTAAAACCTTTAATTAGAAGAGTTGCTTGAATTAGAAGTGAATTATAAGGAACATTGTTTGAGAACCGCAAACCTTCGCATGGGCCGCAAACGAGCCTTCGGGCCGTGAACATGCTTCGGACCGTAAACTCCTTCGGGCCGTGAACTCCTTCGGACCGCAAACTCTACCCTATATATATATATATATATATATATATATATATATATATATATATATATATATATGTTTGGCCGGAATATTCTTCACTTCTACTCTTCTAGCCGCAAACTCAAGACTTTTCTCTCAAGAACACCAACCGAAAACACCTTTCTCTCTCAACTATCATCCTTCAATCCGTTGAATCTTCTTAGAATATTGCTTCAAAGTAGTCTTCATTTCATCAACATTTCTGGGAATTTCTCGACCGCAAACACTTGAATCATCTTAAATTCATCAAGATCTTCCTTGGGCCGTAAACCCCCAGGTTGGCCGTGAACACCTTGCAGCCTCCCATATTGGCTTCTAACACTTTTATTTATAAGTTAAACTTACAAATTAGTCCAATTCCTTATCGTTCTTATGTCTATATACACAAGCTGTTTACATATATATTACATAAAATGCTATTTAGGACTTGGTTTTGCTACGGGATTTCACTCGTGGAAATAACATCCTATATCGAACTTTCAATCGAATCACTCACATAAGGTGAGTTCATATCCCTGCAATTTACCTTTTTCAATGTTTTAGGGGGGGGGGGGGAATACAAGTAGAACACAACATAGTTATTTTAAAATGACATCAAGTCATCAAGAATCTTTCAAAATGGTTAAACTCTTTAAATGTCTCACAAACTCTTTTTAAACTTATATATTGTCAAAAATCATATTTATATATATAGTCATATAAATAAGATTTAAAGGGCGTAGGACTAATAACTCGCTTTATTTCCTTTTCCTTGTTTGGATGTGGACTTAGGGTATAGTTATTTGTCCGAATGTCGTTTAAATTTAGTTATATATATTTATATATGTATATAAATATAAAAGTGTTTCAATCAGTTTCAATACCCTTTGTGACTTGTTGAGCAAAGGGGCGTATTCTTGAACAATTATTACTAATACAAAACGTACTAGTAAACTATAATAGGTATAGTTTAGAGGATCAATACATGCTATTTTCTAGAACAGAGGAACATACATAAATCAATACATGCATACTATTACTATTCATTACAAAGTATACTATTCATTTACAAGAACAAGAAGGAACTTACACACTATAACAAGAACAAGATAACCAAAATGTGAGATACTATTTCATGGCATAGCAATATACTTGCAATGTCACGTTTTGTAACCAGAGTCTCCTGGAGGGAGAGTGTGATTTTATGTATAGATCTATACGGGATTGACCATCGCTCACCTTGCTGCTAGCTACAGTGGGACTTGCAGGTCTATGGGTGACAAATGTCATATCATTTTCGACGCCTGAACAATGTTGTGTTTTATACTAGTCAATGAAGCATGTTTACAACCTTAATCACATTTTAACCTTAATTAACCAGTTTGGTTTCAAGATAGTTAATGCATCAGTAGTGTATTTTACATAATACTACTATAAATCTTCATTTTCCATTACATTCATATAGTGAAATTCTCACATGAGAAAGGCATACCATTTTTCTAGTGAAGATGGTTCACATATATGGAAAACATACATTTTATACTATTTCAAGTACAAACATACACTTTACATCAATTTCAAGAGAACAAAACATACAAACAGGTCGGTCTTGGATAGAAGGCTACTTTTCATATAAGCAGAAAATATAGGATTTTCTGGGAAGTATACAAACAAATACAAACATTTTTACGAAACAATACAAACATTTTCATGAAACAAATGCAAACTCTTGACACTAAAATACTTATGAACTCACCAACTTAAATGTTGATACTCCTTTTCAAAATAACTTGTATTCTCAGGGAACCAGTAGACAGGTATAGTGGACCAGGTTTTGGGAAGACGGAGCATGTTCAAGACTCGTCTTTTATTTTGCTATACATTTTTGGTGTCTTACAACTATACAAGGAACACACATGTATTAACTATTCTATTAATGCAATGGATGTTGTTGCTTGTTTTACTATTGTGCATTGTTATGATACTGTACACGACGTCCTCCGCCCCCGAACGTTTCCGCCGTTCCGGTTTGGGGGTGTGACACTTACCAAGCCTGATGTTTGCCGATGAAAAGGTCCCATGTAATCTATTCTTCGTTGGTGGTATGAAGATTGTATTAAAATTCTCTCATCATGTGGCGGCTGAAAATTTCCTTAAAGCATACTATAACTGGAATAAATGGTTCAAATGGCTTGATTATGGCATCACTGAAGATCACGGATTCAATAGGCTGGTTTGGATCAAGATTCATGGTCTCCCAATCCATCTACGCTTAAATGAAAATGTGGCTGCCATTGCAAGTAACTTCAGTGAGGTTCTTGAAGTTGATGGTCACAACTGGCATACTCCAGATCTCAGCAACGCTAATGCTCGTATACTGTCCACAAATCAGAGGTTTATTAACTCAGAAATCAATTGCTCTTACTATGGAAAAACTTTCAAGGTAGGGTTAGTTGAATGTGGAGATGCTTGGGATCCGATTTCCAGCTATTATGAACGTGAAACTCAGAAACAGGAGGAGGAAAATAATGAGTTAAAATATGATGAAGAAATTAAAGATCAATTTTCATCTGATTATGACAATCATGGTATAGCCGACACCTATATCAATGATCTGGAAGAGGGCGAGATAGTTGCAGATTCCGGTGTATCTCCAGCTTCGATGAACACGGCGTACATTAGAAGTGGTGATAATACAATTAACAATGAAGATGATCGGTCGCGTAGGAAGTTGGAGCCAAAATAACCCACCGACAATCTTAGCATACCGACAGTTGGTGTGTTGTCCCCATCGCCTATACCTAATTCTAAGGGCACAATCCATATGCCAACTCAAATCCAATTTTTTCACGAGCCCAATCTTACCCCAATTAGCCATCCTATCCGCTTCACTGATCCTAATCTTGCGGATATGTACCCATCTGGTGAAATTGGTACCGTTCAAAAAAACTTGGTGAATCCACCAACAAAAAAGAAAACTAAATTGCTGCGATACCCAAATCCCCACCGGCGTTTCTAATGTTCCTCATAGTTTGGATGGTGATTTCGACCTAAATGTTGTTGTTCCAAACTCTAATACCAAATTGTCTTGTGATGATAGCCCCTCCACCTCTAATGAAGTTAATTTCATCACCAAGATTAGAAGTGCAGTCGGATTCCAAGTCGATGCGGAAAACATAGAGTTTTTGTCTAAGATCCTCGACAATGAAGCTCAAAGTGATGGAGTTATCAATGACTCCCAATGAATATTCTTTCATTGAACATCATGGGGTGGGTGAATCCCACAAAGTGGAATGGATTAGAAAAATAAAGCAGATGCATAACATAGATTTTGTTGGCTTCCAGGAAACACGTGTAACCAATTACAATAAAATTGATTTTTTGGATGTTGAGGTTCAAACAATTTCATGTTTGAGGCTGTCAGCCCAACCGGTAGATCTGGTGGACTTGTAAGTATATGAGATTCTAGAACTTTTTTCCAAAATCAATTCAATATCCTCCAGATATTACTTAGCCATTGCTGGTCATTGGAAAGGAATCTCAGGAATTACAACACTGGTCAATGTCTATGCCCCTCAATCAAATTCGGATGGAGACCTCGGAACCTCCCATCTCATCATGGCCTCCACCTTAGCCGGATCGACCAGTATATCGTTATGGTTGACAAGGTGCCCTAGAAACTGCACCTCGCGCAACCAGAACTCGCACTTGGAGAACTTTGCGAAAAGTCTCTCCCTCGTCAGCGTCTCCAGCACCTCCCTCAAGTGCTCCTCATGTTGCTCCTGCGTCTTGAAATAAACCAAGATGTCATCAATAAAGACTATCACAGACCGATCCAACATCAGTCTACATACGCGGTTCATGAGGTCCATGAACACGGCAGGAGCATTGGTGAGCCCCAACGGCATCACCACGAACTCGTAATGACCATAGCGAGTCCAAAAGGTTGTCTTTAGCACATCATCATCCATGACTCACATCTGGTGATAATCGGATCGTAGATCAATCTTGGAGAACCAAGACGCACCTTGTAGCTGGTCAAACAGATCATCAATCCTTGGGAGGGGATAACGGTTCTGCACTGTTACCTTATTCAACTCCCGGTAGTCTATGCACATCCGGTGAGATCCATCCTTCTTCTTCACAAATAGAATTGGGGCTCCCCAAGGCGAACTGCTCGGCCTGATAAATCCCTTGTCTAACAACTCCTGCAGCTATGTAGACAACTCCTGCATCTCGGGAGGAACCAACCGATATGGTGTCTTGGCTATCGGAGCCGCACCCGGAACTAGGTCAATACTGAACTCCACTTGTCGCTCCAGAAGTATCCCATGCAAATCCTCCGGGAACACGTCCGCATACTCCCTCACAACTGGCACATCATCGACAGTCGCCTTACCCTTCTCCCGGGTATCCATAACATAGGAGACAAATCCTGTACATTCCTGATGAAGGTAGCGTCTGGCTCTCGCTGCCGAACACATGGCCAGTCCACGCTGCAGTCTCTCACCCTGAATCACCAGCTCTCCCCCACTTGGGGTCCTAATCCAAACCAACTGCTGCTCACAGTTGATCACCACACCATTAGGGCTCAACAAATCCATGCCTATGATAACCTTGTTCCCTCTCAAAGGAATGGGAACCAAATCCACAAGATACCGCTCGTCATACATCCTTAGAACACAATCCCTATAAACCTCTGATGCCCGAACAAATCGATCGTCCGCAATCTCGACCTCTAAAGGACAATCCAACATGCTCGTAGACTCGACAAACCTCTTGCTGAGTGCAAGAGAAACGAAAGATCGGGTAGCTCCCGAATCAAATAACACCAATACTAGGATACCATTCACATGGAATGATCCTAAAACAGAATACATGAAACATAAATATCAAAACTGACATATAATAAAAGTTAGTAAGAAGAAACATACCCGTCACCACATCTGGTGCAACGCGTGCCTCCACGACAGTCAGCTGGAAGGCTCGGCTCCTCACCACTAGAGCATCTATCTTGCCCTGTCGTCCATCCGTGATCCGCAGGATCGTTGGAGCTGGCACCGCCACTGGCTCTCCTGATACCAATCTCGGGCAGTTGGCCTTTTTATGGCCCTTCTGATTGCAATGAAAGCAAATCAGGTATGATGTCTGAAAGGTGGGGGTAGGGGCAGTACAATCCTTGCTAAAGTGCCCAGTCTTGCCGCACTTGTAGCAGCCCAATCCCCCAGCTCTACAAACTCCCTCGTGTGGCTTGCCGCATTTCCCACAGCGGCTCTGGCCCTGATGGCCCTTTGACCTCGAGTCGAATCCCTTGGGTTTCTTTGTCGAAACCCCAGTCGTCTGCCCAGTCTCCGCCTTCCTCTTCCTAATGTGCTCTATGTCAATATCCCTCTCTCGTGCCCTGGCTATCATATCATCCAGGGTCGGGCATGCCGAATAGCTGACATATTTCTGGATGTCAACTCTCAACATATCATGGTACCGGATTTTCTTCATCTCCTCATCACTCGCGTACTGAGGCACCAACAAGGCCCTCTCCCTAAACTTGGCGGTAATCTCTGCCACTGTCTCAGTAGTATGTTTCATATCCAGAAACTCTCTGTCCAGCTGTTGAACCTCTACAGCTGGCACGAACTCTACCCGAAATTTGGCCACAAAATCTGACCAGGACATAGCCTTAATGGTTGGGGCTCCCACCATGTCACTGACTGCCTCCCACCAGTATCTAGCCCTCTCTCTCAATCATGCCACAGCAAACCTGACCTTCGACCCCTCAGGGAAGAAGCTCGTCACCTGCGCAGACTCAATGTCTACGATCCATCGTCTCACCACAATGGGGTCTTTCACCCCGCAAAAGCTTGGCGCTCCGCATCCCCTAAAATCCTTGAAGGAGAGCGTGTATGTCCCTGACTGGCCAGATGACATGTCACTCCTGAATGCCCTGAGACGATCCTCTATCAGCTCAATGATCCCTTCCTTGATCGACCCAGAAATCACTGGGGTCGCCTCAAGGATACCTTTCGTAATCTCAGATGCAATGAACTCGCGCAATCTATCATCGACTGGCTCGGAACCCGTGCCCGAACCTGACCCAGACCCTGAACCTCCTACTCCGTGACATGTCACCACCATTCTAAAACAAAACACATAATCGTTCGGGCCATACATAACATCGAGAGGTCTTACACTCTACCACTCTTGGTTCCCCGTAGCTCCCCAAGAGTCAAGTACGGATCCTCTGCTTTCAGTAGTACGGGCCCATACTACCTTCCACATCTATCCGTACTGTCCCCTTGGTTTACCGAAGCCACTTCCTATTCACGTATACGATCCTCAATCAAATAATCTCTGACACTATTCTCATCCTAGGCTTGCCCTAGGGTAATCTCCGACCTACTCTCCGCCATCAGCTGCATAAGAAGTCCCTGCTACCATTCCCTAACTAGCTTGCGAATACAATTACATATTACTAAGACCAGATAATTCTTCGAATGAGAGGTCTCTTCCTACAATGGTTAAGACTCAAACAAGAGCTGCGCAATAGGGCTAAACCTAACCTTCTGAAATTATTTAGTCCCTATAATATGTAACTTAGCGTATTCGTTTACTAGTTAATTAAAGTTAACTAGGACCCATATAAGGACAAAGCAAGCAGCATTCGAGGATTGAGTAACCATACCAAGCATATCCTAATCAGGCCATCATATCACCGACTAATCAATTATAACATGCAGTTTAAACAGCACATACAACAGGCACATAAGGCATCCTCCCTAGATCCTTAGCCCTAATCTATCATGCGGTTCTCATACACATATATCAGGCATACAAGGCATCTTTCCTAGATCCTTATCCCTAATGTAGCATGCAATTCTCATAATCATATCGTAACGTAACATGTATGGGTATCTTGGGGAAAACTTACTTGAGCTAGGCCGATTGCACGCATCACAGTTCTTGTTCTTTCTTAAAAACCTTAATTTCAAATTTTTGAAAATTATTTTTCTTGTAAAAACCTTTCGAACCCTCGATTTGAGTTCAGACACCCTCGAAGGTGTGTCCGAATCCCTCAAACCAAGGCTCCGATACCAACTTGTAACGTTCCAAAATCCAAGACCAAAAGTGTCATTTCTAATTTAATAATTTATAAAACAAATTACTGAAAACATCATCAATGTCATCTCATGTCATAAAAACCCATAAGTCATATAACTCAAAACATGTCATAGAATAATAATGTTAGAGTAAAAAATCTCAAGAATCTCATAGTGCGGAGAATCATGTGTGATGAGCTGCAGTCATGTCGGCTCCTTTCCCTTCGAAGAAGAAGTACCTGAAACCAAAACTGTAAACCGTAAGTACGAAGCTTAATGAGTTCCCCCTATCATACCACATACCATACAAATAACATACTGTCAGGCATATCTGGGTGCCCGACCTACCCTGCTGAGCATACCTAGGTGCTCAACCTACCCATTGCAGGCATACCGGGGTCCCCGACCTACCCCTTGTCAGGCATATCTGGGTGCCCGACCTACCCTCCGGTTTATCTCAACCGATTACGGGGTCTATTTCACCCCTACCACTACCACATAATAACATATCATAACCGTACTGTCAGGCATATATGGGTGCCCGACCTACCTTCCGGTTTATCTTAACCGGTTACGGGGTCTATTCCACCACTCCTACCACTATCACATATAACATATAAATCACAACAGATAGTGGAAAACCATACAATTA